TGTGCCCCGAGGCGTGAACCTCCGCGGAAAAGCATCCCGTAACACGCTGGGGAACAAGCTCCCACCCAGACCGAGGTAATCGGAACCGTTCGTGTATCTGAATAAACTGCAAAAGCATCACCCCGCTTCTGCAGGGCCCAGCGCCCACCGAGGCAGACGTGCGGACACAACCACAGAAGCCCCTGCTCTAGAAGCTTCCTCACCTCCATCCTCTGAAGACTGACAGTGACATCCCTGAGGGGGGGCCGTAGGCTGACAACAACACATCGAGAATTTCAGTCACTGCCACTTTACAGACAAGAAAGCATCACCATTCGGTGATGGTAAGGTAAGGTAAGGGGTTAGTTCTGCAAAAACAGACTCTTCTTTTTGTGGACAAAGTGAAGACAAAGGTGGTGCAGTTTGTTGGTTTTGGTTTTTTTTCTCCTAACCACGGCAACATGCAGGAAAGAAGACCTGTGGACCGAAATAAAAATATTTAATAGAATAAGAAACTAGTATTAATACTAACATAAAATACACAAAGTTATACTCAGCCCGTAGAGTGGTCCCGAGCTGTTTGCCCCCAGCAGCAGACGCTAGATGACAAACACTGCAAGCACCACAGCTCCAGCAAAAGCACATTGGTCACAACAAACAGGGGAGCAGGCCTCAGGAGCACAACGACGGGCAAGACCCTCCCGTGACAGCAGCCATCAAGGGAAGAGGGCTGTCCGCAGTAACTCCCTGCTCTATAGCGAGTGTGACTTTCAAGGTATGGCATAATTCTGTTGGCCAGCTTAGGTGACCTGCCCTGGCTTTCAGTCCCCCCAGCTTCTGCACCTGGCTAACCCAAAACTGCTCAGGACCCTGATCACTATGGCAACCTGCATACCAGGGCTGGCCACAACCTGAGAGTGTCGTACCAGTTTTGTTCCCATCCACTCGAATGCTGCAGTCTTCTCAAAAGTGCAGCTTTTCTGAATAGAAAATTATTATTCCATCCTAGCAAAACCAGGACAGGGACATGTATCTGTCTAGAAATCGATGTGTTTCCAAAAATTTAACCCTATGATGCACAAATTTAATTGCTAAATGTGGCTGATGTGAAAACCAGCATCTCCTGTAGAGATCTGCCAATGTACTGCTGGCCCATAAACTTTGTCTGGCTGAGACTTACAGCTCATCACCATAGCGTTGTTCTATGCTTTTATTAATTAAACACCATTGCTGCCCATTTTCATGCTCCTTCCTCTCTGTACATACATGTACGTTCCGACAGCAATCCTAACTGGGATGAGCCAGCCAACAGCAGAAACCCAAAATCTGCGGATAGGCTACGTCCAGGGCTGAGACTGAGCAAGACACCTGAGGTCCAGACATGGATACTGAGGAGACTGGAGGTCATGGGCAGAGACTGGAGGGACCAGAGCGTGAAGTCAAGTCACTGAAGCCATATATGAATGCTCCACTGGCACACTTCAGGCAAGTAGGAACAGGACCAGGCCACTTCTATGGTTTCTGTTTTAAGCAAGTGTATCCAAGGGCACTGTCCTCTTGTTTTTTGTTAATCTGTTCACGTATGGTTATTTCTGTGGTACACGGGCATACACATGCATCTCTGAAATTCTCACTCGGCCTCACTGCTGGCTGGATGTGCACAGGGACAAGCAGCAGCCCTGCAGGGGAGGGAGCCCCTGCACCTTTCTGTCCACAGACGTGCAGTCCTTCACAGAATGATCCATGATGGTTCATCCAGTTTCATTTGTACAGTACACATGAAAGCTGCACCATAAAGCAGCCCAAAGACAGTAACTCAACCATTAGGTTTTTAACTGCGCTGTCCCACTGGCTGCTTCTCTACTGAAAGCCAAAAGTATCTGTCAGAGCCACAGACAGAATGGCAAACAGCTGTGTCCTGTGGCTACTTGGACTTCCTGGCACTTCTCAGTCCTCCAACACTTAATCTGAGTGCCTACATCTGCTTTAGGGGAACATCTGTGTAGTTCAAGACAAGTAAAGGTCCTTGCCAGGCAGGTACCAGTTTCTGATGCAGACAGCAATGATACCACTAAGAGGTCACCCAAAGAAGTTCAGTAAAGACCAGAGGTAACGGGGCAGAATCAAACTTCAAATGTATTTTAACTCAAGCAGACAAGCTCTTCCCAACCCCTCAGTTAGGAGCAGTCCTGTGTACTGGAACACATCTGCCCTCCGACAGGAATGGCTGGGTGAGCAGCACAGCAGGTTCATAGCTGGCCATAGGCACTTTCACATGGGCTGCACCTCTGCCTGCCAGGGCACATCCGCCTTCAGCTGTGGGTTCCAGCAACTCCCACCCTTCACGTGAAGGCAACAACCAATGCAAAAGTTTCACTGGAAAGAAAGAAGGGGTTGCCAGCCCCATCCGCACGGTCACACTCAGTGCACAGGTCAGAAGCACCAGCATTGTTCATGGCGTTACAGAAGACAGATTGAGTGGGGAGACGCGACGGGTGGGAGTGTTGTTGGCTGACAATGACGCAGGGAGGAAAAAGGGAGCAGCAATCTCTGTGGAGGATGTTTCTCCTTGGTTGCGAAGCTGTAAGATCTGCCGCAGCAGGGCCTTTCCTTCTTCTCTAGTCTGAAAAGAAAACAATAAATGGATGGGTGGTTTCTGGGTCGAATTCAGTATGTAAGTATAAGTTATAGTAGTTTGTCATTCTGTAAGGCTGCAAGTTATAAAAACCACCTTCTTTTCTTCTTTCTTCTGCTACTTATAAATGTTATGTCTTTTTTTTTTTTAAATCTTTCTTCCTTTTACTCACCTGGTTTGCGTGTTATTTGGGCATTTCAGGCAGTGGTACCATCAACCACTGAAGCTGTCTAAATATTCCAGCAAAAAGTAGATTGGAGAACCTTCAAATAAGCCAAATTCAGGTTCTCCAGTTCAGACAGCTTTGCTAAGGGCAGGCCAAACCCCTGCACTCCTGGTTAGTGTCTGCCACAAGGCTGGGGTTAAAAATCCAGACTTGTCCACTCACAGAGCATCTTGGAATATGGAGTCACATGCAAAACCCAAGTACTATTATATCTTCTGCACTGTCTATACACAGAAGATGAGAAAAAGAGTTATATGAGTACCATGGCTAAACACTGTATGGGAGTCTGTGACCATTCAACCACCTCCTCACCACCAAAATTTTCAGCAGTCTTAAGACTGCCACATGGAGCCTCAAATTCTTTTATTTAGTGAACACCAATGAGACATGTTTAATTGTAGTATCTGGACCATACTGCATGATTTAGTCAGTCATAACACCACCACTCGGGATGTGAGCTGCGTGGCAGACAGCGCCCTCTCCTTCAGTAAAGGATTTCTTCTGCTCTGAAGGGAAGATCAAGGTCACAGACCCCTGAGAAAGAGACACTGCAGACTGCACAACTACTCACATCATTGAACGCACAGCATTTCTGGGCACACGCCGAGGCTTCGTCCCAGAGCTTGCACTTGAAGTAGTACTGGGCCAGGTAACGGAAGGCAGTGCAGACCTCCAGGTGCTCCACTACCTCCTGCAGTGAGGGGGGTAAAAATCATCATCTCCAAGTGCCCTCCAAGGCAGTTCTACACCATGTTAACGTCTCCTTTTATTACCAAAATACCATCTTACCCCACAGGAATAGATATCCTGGATGTATTTGATGTAGCACTGAGCTGCCTGTTCAGATTCATTCAGCTGTTCGTGCAGCCTAGAAAAGGAGAAAAAATGGGCCACTGGAACAAGACTGCACTGTTCAAGACCTTCTTGGCCTATGAGAAAGTACCTGCCCAGCCTGACCCGGACTAAAACCAGGTCTTGTCCTTCAGTATTTGCAAGATATGCACTGTGTGCTGCCCCTCATGGAAAGAGATGATCCAGCTTGTGAACATTTACACTACCAGTAAGATACTAACTGCCAGAAGCAGTGACAGCCAAAGCAGAGACCTTTGCTTATTGTTACATTTTAAAGCTTTTAACAGACCTTTGCCATCCTATTTGACTGCCTATTTCCTCCAGTTGTCCTTCTTCCCTCACTGCCTCCCAGGAGTCTTTGTGCAGCAGCTTCACCATTCACTTGGCTTTTTCCTTCCCCGTCACTTTTTCCACATTATGTTACTTTATCCCCACCAAAAATTAGTGCTGCTGTCAGAGTGCCCACATTTCTTTCACATCAGACCCTTTCCCAATGTCACAACCATATATTGGGGAAATTAAAATTAAAAAAATCAATCCATCTACAATTTCGTACATCATCTACCATCATGGATTGCTTTAAGTTTCAACACAACAAATACAATTGCTAGCACTGCCTGCCCAAATCACCTCAGGATTCAGCAGTCGCTTGCAACCCACATTATGCTACGATTCCCTCTTGTTATCCCAAGGGAAACTTAAAGCTAAAGCTGGACATCAGAATTTTCAGTCACTACAGACCTGAAGATATCAGTTATCACACAGCTCCAAAAGTAACACTCCCTGACAGCAATTCCACTTGTTTTACATTTAGTATTTACCATTAGGTATCAAAGCGCTAGTTGCATTTGACACAATATAGACAGTTCAGTGGCAACACGCACTCACTTTGCTAGTTTCACCAGTGCCATTTTCTCCACATCTCCCACAGCATAAGCTCTCCAATAGCACTGTCAAGGAAGGAAAGTCAGTCAAGCATACTACAAAAATTACTGCAGCTCAAGACTCAGGCAAGCAGGTTAGAAACAGAACTACATGGCTTTCCAGCAAAGGGGCACGTACGCAGACAACTCCATTTATCAGCGGCTCTAGTTGCATTGCAGCAGAACTTCCCCAGTCGCGACGAGCACAGAAATGGTTTCAATAACCTCCTAACACCACGCTGCCAGCACGGCTGGTAGCTACAGTTTTGCTGTGACTCCACGTAGTGTCCTGGGAGACATCCTGATGTCTGGCCCCATGGCGCAGCTCTCACTCACCTTTTTAGCTTCCACCAACTGATTGAGTTTCTCATAGCATTCTCCTAGAGCAACCAGCATACGAGAATCATTTGGTCTGTAAAAAAGCAATTCCTAAATGTAGTTCAATGAATGACCAGCTGATCTCAGGGTGGGGGGGATGGGAAATCTATATCTGGCAGTGTCTGTCATCCTTTCTCACATAAAACACCACTTATACTCCTGACTGCCGTTCCTTAACTGACAAAGCCTTTGTTAACAGTTAACTAATACAACTGAAAGGATTTGGAATAGCGAGACTGCACAAATCACATAGCATCGATGTTCTCCCTTCCCCAACTTAGTTTCTGCATGTATCTTCCTTAGCCAGTAGCAACTGTGTCAGAATGAACACCAATAAGCACGGCTCCGATCTCAACTCTACCTGAGCTGGTGGGCCCGTCTGTAGTAATAGAGACAGTAAAATGGCATTTTGAGGATTTCGTAGGTTTGCCCCAAGCCATACCATGCTCTGTAGTCCCTTTTGTTCACCTCTATTGCATGTCTGTCAAAGAAAAGGAGAAGAACTACTCAGAAAGCAGTCAGGATCAAAACCAAGTGAGTTCAGCAGAAGACTAAAAAAATAGAAGATACTACTTCAACCCTTGTGTATGCAGACTCAAACACCACTTTGTGCAGTACAAGACTGGTACCTATAGGCCTGGATAGCTGCAGATGTGTTCTTCATTTCCATATACTCGTGTCCCATGAGTGTCCAGGCTCCCAGATAACGAGGATTCAGTTTCAAGGCCCTCTGGAAATAGAGTGCTGCTTTTTCATGCTGGGAACGCAAGCTATAATAATTCCCTAAAGCAAAAGTAACAATATTTAAACAAATAAACAAACAAACTCCCAAACACCACAAACAAAAAACAGCAGAGAAGTAGAAAAAAGATAGAGGTATTCGCTCTTAACTTAAATTATAAAAAGAAAAGAGTCCTTTTAAAGGCACATTTCATTCAAACCTCAAGAGACCAAAGAGCAGTCTGCTCTCCAGTGTTCTGGTCAATGCTTTTCCAGTTGTGCCAATCAATTAAGAACCCACCCCCTTGGCCTTAAAACTTATGTCATGATCTAAGAAATTAATTTCCTGATCCTGACACCCAATTATTACCATTCCAAATTATTTCCATTTCAGGACTATAAAGGGATTATCAGCCACATAGGTCTTCATAATTATTTCTTCAACTCCTTTCTGCACTGATAGTATTACAGCAGCTCTTTCAGAGAAAACCGAGGGGACAGGATACTCTGTCACTTGGTCTGCTTTTCAGGCTGCCTGATTACACATTCACCAAGCAGTTTTGATAGCCTTGCTGGCTGATCATTTTCACAACTGCTTCTAAGATCAACTCACACAGCCTGCAGACAGCATAAGAACACGCAGAGGAGCTGGCTCTCACCAATCACACAGCAGGTCTCAACACGATACTTGTCTATCTCGCAGAGATTGTGAGCCAGGTAGCTCAATTCAGGCTTCATGCTCTAGAGAAACAAAGACATGACAGTGATGAGAAAAGGAGCACGTTACAGTTTCAAAGAAAACCTAGGCAGTTAGCAACGCGTACATTGCATCTATTTCATGGAGTGTTTAACACACCTCTGATAAATACCATCATCGTGGACAGGCAATACAAGGAGTGCTTACCCTTACATACAGCAAGTTGGAGAAAGTGTCCATGTTTTCTATCCTGTAAGGATCTTGTTTCCTTAGCTCGTTAAAGATGGATAAAGCTTTGTCAATATCTGAAGAAAGAACAGCAGATGGGAGAACAAGAACTATAAATTCCAAGTTTGCATTAGGAGGCTCATTCCTCCTAGTTGGGAATTGTCACTGACCTCGGATATTGTGGTAGGCAACTGCGATCTGAGAGATGATGTAAGTGCTTTTGGAAAATCCCGCATCAATGAGACTCTGATACTTCTGCAGAGCCTCCTCTATCAGCTGCAGCTCTGTATAAATGTGTGCAAGAAAGAACTCTTTCATCCATGTGTCCGGCAAGGACAGGAACTTCAACTAGTGAGAACCAAAGAAGAGGAGGAAGAGATGACAATCAGTAGTGGCAAAGAAGCCATTATCTTCCCTCCCATGACTTAGCAGATGGTCTTGAGGAGGCTTTCCTGCAATCGGTTTCTTAAACCACACCATCAGCTAAAAAACCAGCAGTATTAGGACCAAGAATTAATATCAGGTTCTTCCACAGGAGAGACCAAACTATACCTATAAATTTAGGATATTGAAATGGGAAAGGAGCATTAAGACATCCAGTCTAAAAATCAGTACAATATGGACCACATAACTCAATTTAGTCACTCCCCAGGACTGCTGAAGTTGCAGAAGAATGCAAGCCATTTCATTTGGTCAGTAAAGAAAGTATCTTCAAGTCTGAAAGCACCTGGCTTCTGCTTCAGCCACTGGCCTTAATTCTCCATTAAATTCAGAAATCCTTCGAAAGACTGTACTTTGTTCCTACGTTGGAACATCAATATCAGATCACTCTTGCTGATGAGCTAAGTGGACACACTCCAAATATCATCATAAAAAGGCATGCTCTCTTTTCCACAAATCACTGCAGCTCTCTTCTGCGCCACCTCTGCTTTCAAAATATTTCACCAGTGAGAATTGACTGAAGAATTCCAGGAGGGGTCTCATAAAATCCCATGCATAATGAAAAATATTTTTTTTTGTTCTATATCTAAGTTCAGTTCTCAGAATCAGTTCAGCTCCTGTGTGCAGCTTTGTATTTGACAAAGGGAACACCTACATGATTGTTTCAGTTTTAAAAGCAGTGATTCTGTAAATCCTTTCAGGCCACCAAAAGTGCTCAATAATTGTGGAACTAAAACCAGATTAAGAAAAAAAACAACCAAAAGAGAGGTACCTTAAGGAGGACTTCCTTCACATGACAAGGCAATAACCCTGCTGACAACTACTTCAGAATATGTCTTAAACCACTTTGTGGGTGAACGGTAAGAAATCAGCCCTGCCTGTATAAAGATTCTCAAGATACAGCATGGCAAGCAGCTGAAGAAAAATCAGCTTTAACACAATTTACAGTTTTGATTGCCTTGCCTGATAGTCTCACAGAATAAAGCAGTGGGTGACATCAATCTCAATCTCATGGCAACTGAATCATTGGTACTGAGTCAGGTTAAACCCTGGAATTTTTTTACCACATCTTAGTATTTCCCAAGTTTTACCATCTCTTTATCTGTAATCAAGTTGCACAGTTCCAGCCAGGCTCCCCAGTGCAAAGGCAAGACATGGGCAGCTTCAACAAACACATCTATTGCTTCTTTCACCAGGTCCAGCTTCCGCAGCACGACACCATACCTGTAAAGAAAGTTATCAAATTAATCAGAACCATAAAACTCTGAATATCCACACAAATACATAGGAATGCCTTGGAAATACATGCAGACACTTACAAATAAAGGCCAAACCCATCCAGTTCCCGTGCCTTGTGTTTCTTGCTGAGCTCAACTCTCAGTTCTCGGAGAGCCTCATTTTTCACCTGTCCTTTCTCCAGAGGTCCTACGTGAGGAGAAAGTCAGACAGGGAGCTAAGATCAAGAGTCTTACCACAGCAATTACAAAGTCTAGGGCATATTCAGAATCATCACTGACATGACTGGAAGGCTTTCAGCCTGTGATTATTTTCCTCTTTTTAAAAGAAGATAACCCAGCCTGATCATCTGGCTTTAAAAGAAGAACTAATAGATGAAAATCTGTGACCGGTATTAAGCCAATGAATTGAGAATGAAAGAAATCGTATTATAGCGCACTATTATCCAAAAATCGAGGGGATAAGCATGAAACCAAGATTATTTACATGAAGAGGTATTACTGGAAGCTTCATTACATTGTCTTGTGTTTCTTGACACCAGAAACTTACCCAAACTATCCACAGTCTCATCGTCCTTCTTCTTTTCCCCTGACTGTGGGCAAGAGAGGAAACCCAAGATTACATTATAATAGCGTATTTGTTACGTCCGCTGCAATACGAGCAGCAGCACGTAAACTAAGTTTTCACAGACATCACAGTTCTAAACAGAGCACCCCTGTACCTGTGCCCACAGACATTTAATTTGAAACAGAACAGGCAAAAGATGAGGTATGCCAGGGAGGGGTGAGGAGCAGGAGTTCGGTACTAAAAGGTGACTTTTCTTTCTATCTTACCAGGTATCTAGAGTACATGTACAAGAAGTAAGCTTTCTGACTCTTGCAGCCCCGTAGGAAATAGGCAGCCCTGTCATATTCCTTTAGATCAAAGTAAGACTTGGCTAATGTGTAGGCATCCAGGTCACGAGCATCCTCCTGCAGGGACATGGAAGAGTTTTGAGACCTCAGAAACTCTGACATGCTTTAGGAAAATCACCTAGTCACAAACTTATCAATGAGATTGCTCTGAAAGCTAAAATTGTAGTTTATTCTTTCTCAAAGATGGTTTGAGTACAATCAGAAGAGTCTTTCTGTGCCCTCACATGATCAGACTCCTTGTTCTCAAATGAGTACAGACCAGCTACAAACGTTTAAAATGACCAGTGAGATTCCAGAAGACAAATTGCGGCAGGGTGCCAGAAGGCATGAACTAGCTGTTCCATGAGTATGAATGACCACAAGTAACCTACTCAGGGATTCCCTATCAAATAGCATTAACACTTTAACTTAAATGCAAACATCTCCGTGGTAACGGTGCTTTGAAATGCACTTATGATGTCGCACTGCTGTAATTTAAAACAGGCTCACACCCAAAAGTCCTGCTGCACACCTGCAGAGGTACACATAAGGATACAACTCATTTCTCTTATGTTCTGTTGGTTTAACGTCACAACGTAATTTATATTACCATAAATTTCGGCCTTAGTAAAATAAATATTAAGCAACACGATTTCAAGTTTTAATTACAGAGCAACTCCTTTAGGGCACAATAACCCGTGACATGGAGTACTTTCATCTCGGAAAGTGCATTCAGCGCCGTCCATCCCATTAAATGCACAACGGACGGGAACCGCACGGCATCACCGAGCGATCGGGGCGGCCTCCAAAGTCGGGGCGGCCTCCAAAGTCGGAGCAGCCAACAAACTCCGGCGCGCGG